ATGGGTCTTTACATAATAATACCCTTAGAATAGAAAATGAAAATGAAAGATAAAAAACAACCTGCTGAATATAAATGCATGACAGAGAAAACTCACCACATCTCTTTTTTATAACCGGAAAACAAAGAATGGCAAAAATCCTAGAAAAATGAAAATATCACAATTTTGTTTAGCAACAGTGTTGCCAGATATGCATATTAGTATTTTAATATTATATATGACATATTATCTACATAGTTGCACACAATTTCAGCTTTATATTCTTGGATTTGGTCTTAAATAATGCTGCAATAAAAATATGGCTAAAAATATGTTAATAAGCAACTCATCTGGCAACTCTGATGCTCTGCAGTAACATTAATGCACATGAGACACTGTAAATAATATAAAACTGGCATAACAAATGAAATCCCTACAAATGCGCAAACATTCCACTTACATTCTTTTTTTCTCAGTTTTTTTTTTTTGCTTAACGCTATAAAAGGAGTTTTACTATTTTAAGCCTTGGAAACTAAATAAACACTACTGTTGAAAATTATAGCATTTTATAGTTCTTAATAAATGTTTACCTTTAATATTTAAGAAGGAACAAACGGGAGAGAAACGACAACTTAAAATAACAGCAATTCTTAGTCGTAATCTTTTATAAACAACAACAAAAAAAGGATAAAGAGGAAAGATATAAAAATATAAAATGTTATGCTGTACTTAAAGTTTATCGCACGTACTGTAGCAGGCCAACGCAGTGCAATAAAATCATTTATGACCGACGACCAACTCTTTACGTAGTTTATGAGTACAAGTGTGTGTGTGTAATGGAAGAAAGAGTTTAAATTAACAAACAACATCAGTAGACATAAAAATGAAGAAAAGTAGAAGAAATAAACAAGGAATAAAAAAATTTTATTTAATTTACATACTCGTACTCATGTTCTCATTTTACTCCATCAGGATTTTACACACACTGCAGTACAGCACTTGTACTTGTAGTAGAGTGAAGTAGTAGTTCAGTGTAGTAGCACACAGTTAAGTTTATTAAATGTCTGTAAAGCGTGTAAGGACCCAGAAGTTTTACAAGGTGTTAGTGAATCACTTTTAAGCAGTAGTTTTCTAAAATGTCTAAGTCCTTCATTCACACGGTATATATATTTTTGGATTTGCAATATAGGGAAGAAGTCTACACACACTTTGCTATTTCTAAAATTGAAAGCACCAGCTGTAGTCTTTTACAGTTTCAATTCTAAATTTTTAATTGCAGTGTAGTGATCCGTGAAGGTCTCTTAATTAGTTACACAGCTAATTCTGTAGTCATGGGTGACCCTAAATATTAAGTAAAATCACTAGTTCGGGACAGCCAATCCGATCTACAGGGAATTTTTTTCTTTTTCCTTTTATTTATTTGTTGATTTCTTTTTATTGTTTATTTTTTTATTGAAGTTGTTTGAAGTATTAAACAATAAACTTCTTTGGAAAAAATTGAGAATTCGTAAATATGCTTTTTTTTAGTAAACATTTATTTATGTATATGTAGTACATATATAACATATTTATCTATGTATACAAAAGTATTTATATACACATACATAGGGAAAAAAGTAATCATGCAGACGCACATATGTGACCATTATGGCCAGCACCATAAAGTCTCCTTTTTATAAAAAAATTATTGTGAGTTTAAGTGCTCTTATATTTAATATTTTATTTTAAAGGAAATAGTTTTTTCGCCAACTTCACTGTGCAAATAACAAATAGTCTACATTATTGATATCGAAGAAACCAAGTGCGTTGGTAATCCCCAATAACAATAATCTTGGCAATAAATTCCGAATGCTATTATGGATTTTCTTGAGCATTTCAATAAATATTTATTTGCGCTTTGTTAGTTGTGGCACATTAACTTACTGGTTAATTCCCTCTAGGTTTAAGGATGTGTTTGTCTTGCAAATATTGGTAATTTAAAAGCAATGACTATTGAAATATACTAGTTCTATTTGTAAGTCATGTATGCAGGATTTAATATTAATTCATATGCTAAATTATTAGATTATTTATTGATGTGTCTAAATTTATTTCTATTTTATTATTATTTAACAGGTTTAAATAATAAAATATTTTGTAAATCAAACGGCATTGTGTAGTGCTTGAAACATTTCTTTTGTGGATAATATCGAATACCTTTAGTCATTTAAGACACATACAAAGCTAGATTTCTAACTTTATTAAAAACAAGTTACGAATAAAGTTTCTTTGAGAAAAGCTTTAGCCAAGTTCAGTTATAGTTCTACTTTAGTTCTAGTTCAGTTCTAGTTCAGTTCTAGTTCAGTTCTAGTTCAGTTCTAGTTCAGTTCTAGTTCAGTTCTAGTTCAGTTCTAGTTCAGTTCTAGTTCAGTTCTAGTTCAGTTCTAGTTCAGTTCTAGTTCAGTTCTAGTTCAGTTCTAGTTCAGTTCTAGTTCAGTTCTAGTTCAGTTCTAGTTCAGTTCTAGTTCAGTTCTAGTTCAGTTCTAGTTCAGTTCTAGTTCAGTTCTAGTTCAGTTCTAGTTCAGTTCTAGTTCAGTTCTAGTTCAGTTCTAGTTCAGTTCTAGTTCAGTTCTAGTTCTAGTTCAGTTCTAGTTCAGTTCTAGTTCAGTTCTAGTTCAGTTCTAGTTCAGTTTAGTTCAGTTCTAGTTCAGTTCTAGTTCAGTTCTAGTTCAGTTCTAGTTCAGTTCTAGTTCAGTTCTAGTTCAGTTCTAGTTCAGTTCTAGTTCAGTTCTAGTTCAGTTCTAGTTCAGTTCTAGTTCAGTTCTAGTTCAGTTCTAGTTCAGTTCTAGTTCAGTTCTAGTTCAGTTCTAGTTCAGTTCTAGTTCAGTTCTAGCATTCTAGTTCAGTTCTAGTTCAGTTCTAGTTCAGTTCTAGTTCAGTTCTAGTTCAGTTCTAGTTCAGTTCTAGTTCAGTTCTAGTTCAGTTCTAGTTCAGTTCTAGTTCAGTTCTAGTTCATTTCTAGTTCAGTTCTAGTTCTAGTTCAGTTCTAGTTCAGTTCTAGTTCAGTTCTAGTTCAGTTCTAGTTCAGTTCTAGTTCAGTTCTAGTTCAGTTCTAGTTCAGTTCTAGTTCAGTTCTAGTTCAGTTCTAGTTCAGTTCTAGTTCAGTTCTAGTTCAGTTCTAGTTCAGTTCTAGTTCAGTTCTAGTTCAGTTCTATTTCAGTTCTAGTTCAGTTCTAGTTCAGTTCTAGTTCAGTTCTAGTTCAGTTCTAGTTCAGTTCTAGTTCAGTTCTAGTTCAGTTCTAGTTCAGTTCTAGTTCAGTTCTAGTTCAGTTCTAGTTCAGTTCTAGTTCAGTTCTAGTTCAGTTCTAGTTCAGTTCTAGTTCAGTTCTAGTTCAGTTCTAGTTCAGTTCTAGTTCAGTTCTAGTTCAGTTCTAGTTCAGTTCTAGTTCAGTTCTAGTTCAGTTCTAGTTCAGTTCTAGTTCAGTTCTAGTTCAGTTCTAGTTCAGTTCTAGTTCAGTTCTAGTTCAGTTCTAGTTCAGTTCTAGTTCAGTTCTAGTTCAGTTCTAGTTCAGTTCTAGTTCAGTTCTAGTTCAGTTCTAGTTCAGTTCTAGTTCAGTTCTAGTTCAGTTCTAGTTCAGTTTCTAGTTCAGTTCTAGTTCAGTTCTAGTTCAGTTCTAGTTCATTTCTAGTTCAGCTCTAGTTCAGTTCTAGTTCAGTTCTAGTTCAGTTCTAGTTCAGTTCTAGTTCAGTTCTAGTTCAATTCTAGTTCAGTTCTAGGCTAGGTCCAAACTTACTAGTACTTTGTAAAATTATTTCGTCATTCCGCATTATTGTATAAAATTCTATTTATTCATTAGAATTTTCTTTCACTAACTAAAAACCATATTTTATAACATCTGAACTATTGCTCTAGTTTCACTGATCTCATTTTCAAAATTTCCATAAAGTGAGAATAAATTGTACTGTATTTTTAAACAATTTCATGTTTAAGTAATTTATCTACATTTAAAATGCATATGAATATTACTGCATTCTAGTGCAACTTGAGCGAGTACCTATAGAGACATTACACCTGAAGCAATGACACAATATTTTATTTTCAAGTACTACTATAGTTACGGGGAAAAAGTTCAAATTAGAAAAAACTATTGTGTTCTAACACTATTGTTTTTACAGCATATGGTAAGCAACAATAACAAAGGTCTAAACAAGATAAAAATATTAATTATGAAATCATTTGAGAAATATGTCAAAAAGTAATCATTAAATTATTGAGGCAGTTTTAATTCCTTTGTTGTATTTTTTTTATCTTTAAGTCAAAGAAAATTTTATTAAATCATGGTTTTTATAAAGAAAATTCTTAAAGTGAAAACTTTCTTCTTAAGCCACCATATTTATATATGTACGTAAAGTTTTGAAACTAAATATAAAAAAACTTGTTCAAACTTTTACTTTTTTCTGCGTTATCAAGGTAAAGGGCTTTTGACTTGTATTTTCTAAATTTTTTCTCACATTCAAGTAGAGAGTAAATAATAATAAAAAACTATAGTTTTTATGACAAACAAAAAATCTGTAATTTTGTTTTGGTTTGTATAGCCCAGATTCCAGTAAAGTATGTTTAGAACTTTTTTTTTTGTAGAAAAAGAAAGAAAATAAAACTTAAACCTATGAGTTCATTGCTTTTGCCTGGTATTTTAATAAAAATCGATTGTTTTGTAAACAAAGTTGTTGCATTTTTTTTTTTAGAAAAGTTTACTTTTGTAAAGAGATACAAAAGTTTCTAGGGTTTTTTTTATATTCGTGTGCGTTTAAGACAAGTTTAACTATTAGAAAATAGTTAAATGGATTTTTGTGTAAATTGAGAGAATTGCAACTAAGATACTAAACTGAATAAAAAACCGAAAAAATAAATTCTTCATTTCGGCACAAAGAAGAACAATTAAAAGTAGATCTAAGTATTATTAAAGTTTATAAAAATTTTACAAAAAAAAGACAAAACTTTTCTCATTTTTTAATTTTTGTTTTTCAACACCTTTTTGTAGATACGAGATCAAATGGAATTATTAAAAATACCACCTGTTGATCAGTCAATTCCACCAGAAGATATTATGGGCAGATCATATTGTCGTTATCAAGGACCAAGAACGTGATTACATACTTTTACAATATTACTAAAACAAAAACATCATAATTATCATCATTATCAACATTATTATCATGTCTATCGTCGTCATCATTATCATCAGCAGCATCATAAATACTTGTCTTTTATATTAAATATTAAGGCCATTGTAATACTTTCATATCTTTGTATTTATATTGAACAAAAATAACAAGAAAAAAAAAACAAAATTGTTAATATTTATTTATATTGAAAAACAAAAAATAATTGGAAAAATTATATAAAAACCCTACAACTAAATTAAATTTTGTATATTGTATATAAAGAGAAATAAAATTTAAATTTAATTTAATAAGTAATTATAAATAATATAAAATAAAATAAACTAAATGAAATTAAACTAAAATACTGTTCATAATTAAGCAAGTTGTATACTGAAAAATTTAAAAAAAGTATTAAAAAAAAAACAAATAAACAAAAAACATTTTTCAATAATTGATTTTAAATGTTTATTATCTTAAAAGAAAACAAAAGCAAAAATCAAATTAGTTACATTTTCTATGTATGTATTGTTTTTAATTTCAATTAAATAATAAAAATTTTTTTGCCTTATTATTGGTAATAAATTTACAAAAATAAAAATAAACAAATTGAAATTATACCTTCGTACATATTACATATTAGTTTTACATGTAAAACTTTTTTATATGGTAAACATAGGGAGTAGGAATGCTCTTTTGTACACATATTGGAACTCAGACTAAAGAATACACTTCTGGAAATATGAGTAAAGTTACAATATTATTAATTTGTTTTAAAAATTAAATATTTTTTGAAACAATTTGGTTTTTAGTCGTAAAGGTCAAATATTAGAAGAAATTTATTTGATATTTTAATCAATTTTAAAATTTTAGGTGCATCTGATCTTAAACGCCAAATATTTTTGCTTTCACTTTTCAAATTCTCTATTACATACAGCATTTTCATATATTGTGCTTTAAAAAAGGTCCTGAGATTTTGAGTTTCTAGTTTATTTATAGAAAAACATAACATGTGATCCGAACTGTAATTATAAAATCAAAAAAACTTCATGACCCTATAAAGTATATTCTGGATCTTTATAGAAAGCCGACTCGATTAAGCCATGTCCGTCTGTCTGTCTGTCAGTTCGTCTGTGTATCTGTTGAAATCAATATTCTGAAGACCCCAGATCATTAATAATTCTGACAGACATGCTTTCGAGAAGTTTTCTATTTAAAATCAGCAAAATCTGTCTGCAAATAACAGAGAAATACGCCAAAATCCGAGACAAGCTCTGAAAATTTCATCAAAAAAAAAGAGAATTTTTTGCATGCTTTGACAAGAAAAGAAACAACAATATTGCTTATTGGAAAAAAAAGGTATGTTGTTGTAGCAGCGACACGTGTAAATTCGGTGTGACTGGGTTGACTATCTATGGTCGTTGTTCGTTGAGCTCCGAGTCGTTACGATGCAAAGAACCGATTGTCGTGGGAACGATGTATGTTGGTTTTATTTTGTTATTTTGTTGTTTTGTTTCGTTTGACGTAAGTTGTTTTTTTATTGTTTTCTTTTGTTATTGCTAAAATAATAGTAGAGTCGGGAAAATAAAATAAATTTAAATTTTATAAAATTAAACTTTTTTAAACATAGAAATTGTACTGCGACGCCTGTACGTATACGTGTTAATGATTTATTGATATTACAAATATTAAGTATAAGCCTAATATAAAGAAGCACTTGAAACAATTTTTAACGCGTAAAATATCGAATTATTTTAAGTTTTTGCGATTTTGATCTTGAAGACGGAGTTTTTTTTGTTCTTTATGACATGTGATACAACTATTCCTGAGAGAGTAAATCAAAATTCCGAACGATTTGCAAGATATAAGTCTGAGAAAATTATAATTGGTTTGCAAAAATGACACCAAGGCCCCAAATCTATGGAGTCCTGCAAAAAAAGTGCATGACTTTGGGCAAATCTGGGAGACCGTATATGGTTAAATTCCCATGGCTTAAAAAATTATTCAAAATTCATGCAGTGTACTAAAAAAAATTTAAATTCAATTTTAGTACAAACAAAATAGTTAAATAAAACTAAAAAAAATTTTACTTTAAACTAATTAAAACAACAATTTAAAAGTGTAATGTAAAACATATGTGTTACGTTTCTATTACAAAGTACATAAAAACAAACACAAACGATAAACCAACATATAAAAATATAAAGTTTATATGCAAACATTATGTATGTACGTTTGTATAGATGTTAATTTGCAGAAGAGAGAAAGGTAGAAATGTTGTAGAAAAGATCATCACTATAAATTCATATCGATAAACACTCATGTAAGTATTTATTAAAATAAACACACACATACATGCATATAAAAGTTTGTTTATGTTTAGACTAAATAACAACTTAAAATTTTCATAAGTTACGTTCACATTGTTCAAATATTTGTCAAAATTAACTTGAGATCCAAAGAAAACATTTTTAGAGTCTTGGGTAAATTTTCAACTAATAGAATCATTGGATATGAGCACTTATTTCTGGATTCTTTAATAGGTTAATGCCTCCGTATGTTATTTGCTAGTGTTATAGTATTTCAGCAAAGTTCAAGCGAGAACGTTTAAAATCTAAAACTATTTTTATACCCTAAAAATGTTCTAAATAAATTTGTAATTTCATTTAAAGTGCAATGAGAACATTTTATCTAAAAACATTTGTATCTGTTTAGTTTTAACTAAGTGGATTATTCTTATAATCTTGTTTGTAATAATATATTCATTAATGTACATAATGTGAATTTATATAGATGTAGAAATATTATAGGAACCCTTTATTTATATGATTTTACTTTAAATAAATTTCAAATCATTATCAAATTTATGGGAAGAACATTTGTTTTCAACGGTTGGCCTACTAAACATATGTAATTGTGTTTACATAAGTATATTAAACATGTGTATTAAAATAAAATAAAACTTGAGTAAAATAATTCCACTAACCAAAAAAAACTCTCTTTTATATTTTCTGAAAATTTGCAACAAAAACAAAATGAAAAGTTTACCTTAAAAAACATACCACACTTACTGAAAAAATGGTTACGGCAACCTTAACAGTATAGTAACCCAGCAAACATTTAAATAATGTAATTTTTTACAAATATAATCTTAAATCTTTATTCAAATCAATTTGATAAGGATTTTGGTTTTGAAATCGAAATTACAATTTGATCTCAAACCGAAATGTTGGTTGGGAACAATCAAGAACACACTGACAGCTAGGCTTTAAGTTCACATAGTACATCAATATAAACATTTACTTTTTTTTTGTAATTGTGTACATACTAGGGTGATCGACTCGATTTTTCAACCGGTTTTAAAACCGGTTTTTTCTGCTTTACCAGTGTCGGTTTTTTCTTAATGTTGATTTTTCGAATATCGAATAACCCGGTTTTTTCACTTTTTAAAAACCGGTTTCGAATACTTTTATTTGCTTTGTATTCAAAGATTATTTAAATTAAATTTTTAAGTAAATAATAATACAGCCCGCCTAAATTTTAAAAATATTCGAGTCGAGGAGCTAGCGTATATTTTTCTAAAGCTCCTTTGGTTAAACTTTTTTGATTTTCCTAATTAATTAAAAAAAAATTATTTGTAAAATTGATAACTATTTGATAAAATTTTATCAATCTTAAGATTATATTCCAATTACAATAATTAATTTACGGCTGAAATTTTATGGAAGTGTTGGAATGCCTATGCAAATTTCCTAAACAGGGCTTTTAAAATAAGCTAGGATTACATAGTACCTTATGTTTAACAGAAGTGTCCCACTTTTTTCCTAATTTTTTTATATTAAAGAAATAATGTAAATCAGACGACTAGATCTAAAGTTATACTCTTTTAAACTGTTAAAAATCATTTCGGGCCATGTTTTATTAATCAAATTTAAACATAAACATTAAGTTTTTCAAATTAAAATATATTTTTTTATTTATAATGAAAAACCGGTTAACCGGTTTTTTCTGAATTTGAAAAATATCAACCGGTTTTTTTAAATGTTAACTATTCGAACTATTCGAAAACCGGTTTTTGGAAAATGTCGAATAATCGATCACCCTAGTACATACACTTTAACATCATCGGAAAGAGTAAACACTCAACTCAAGAACTGTATTAACACAAAGAGGTAAAGCAGTAAAGTATCTACAAGTTCTTACATCTGTCTACAGATGAATACATGTACCTTAGGGTGTCCCGTTTACTACTTTTTTCTAATATATTGAACACGAGAAAAATACAAAATATTTTTTTGAAAGTCAGTTTCCTACCAGCGATTGAAAATCTTGATCTCAGTACAATATGTTCCAAATAAAAATCTGCCATCTTATTGTAATGGGTCTCAAAAATTCCATAATTGGGAAGATATCTTTAAGAAGATATGTCAGATATTAGGCCTTTATTTTAAAACTGACAGAATGGACTTTCAGATGGCATACAATATTTTTAAGTTTCCGGACATGTCATCTCAAATCACAGACATGATGGAGAAAATCTGTTGCTCAACCCTTTAGAAAATCTCAGGATTTCGATTTTTTTCAAATTTTGTCGGATTGTGATATTGACAGGATAAGAAATTTGAGAAATGATATATTAGAATGAACTAAATTTTAATTTTCGACTGGAACAAAAGCAACTTCCATTTTCGGAACACCCTAACTTACATTTGTAGTTGTATGCGCACTTATGTATATATGTATAACATGTCTGTAAAGTAGATATTAATATATTTACGTAAGGACTGACATAAGTCAAATGAATATTTCTACATGGTTCCACTGTTTAAAATTGTGTTGCTCCAGCGATTCCATGCTGTAGGATCAATTTAATTTTGGTAAAGGGTCTAGTTAAAAAAAAAAAACATTATTTATCTTAGTCCTTACTTCTTTCATATTTATATTTCATAGACCATTGTTTCTATGACAGTAGTCTATGTTAAAAATCTTCAAATTCTATTGTTATACTAAATATTTAAAGATCATATTTCATAAGATATTACAAGTTAAAAAGGCCCTTACTTTAAACTAAATCTGTTTTTATTCCTTTTGTTATGATTATTTCAAGGGATTATTTAATCCCTGGAAATAAGGCACCATTTCACACCACTGTGCAAGTTGTAGATAAATTAACACATAAAAGTAAACCATCATTACTACAAGAATGTTGTTGCTTTTGTTGTTATATTGTTTCCTTTTTTGT